AAAAAAAAGAAAAATGTGAATAACAAATAGAATTATTCCTTATTATTAGTATATATACACAAACTCATCATATAAATGCAAATGATTAAAAAATTGTAAAGACGAACATGGAGGTTAATAAGTAGTAGCCGCTTTTATTATTATGTGACGGTTTGAATTATTTTTTTATTTCTTGGTGAATTGACGGTTACAATTCTTGAACTTACGTTTGGAAACTCCTCAGCTTAGTCTGCATGTCCTGAACAAAGTACAAGACTCCTTCATTCTCTTCTACAAAACGTTTGCTACCTTCTTCAACTTCTCCAGGTACCCTTCATTTCTTTCTCATCTCATCGATTTAACTATCTTACTCCATGTTCATGTGTGTCTCAGTAATCTCTTTCATTATGAAACAGTGACAAAATAGTAGGAAAGCTTAGAAGAAAAATATTATAATTCTCTCTGCTTGTAAAGTTATACAATAATATGGTTAGAATAAACTTTTCTTGTAAGTGACCTTTTGGTGTTATTAGTGGAAATGCCTGATGTCACCCTTGTCCTTTGATCTCCTGTTTTCTCTCAACGACACTTAGAATCTGAATAACACACATCACTATTTCTTCTTTTTTCTTCTCTCTCTCTCTTTGTGTGAAAATGTTTTTCTTTCAACACTTCACCATATATCCTGTTTGTTTCGTGCCATTAATTTGGTTTTTCTCCTTATTTCAATGGAAACATATAACAAAAAGGTTTAGCAGTGAAAAAACAGGCAAACCCTTTAGAAAGAGCAACATAATGCATGAATACGTACGAGTGGATCTTGCAATATTTATATCATTAATTAGATTAGTGTGTGTGAGCAATATATCAAGTTGTACATTCTCTCTGGACACATTCACCATTTTCATTTTCAAACAGAATCTAAATTAACTTTGCTACCGAATAAGCTACACATTAGGTAAGATGCATTGCAAAGTGAAGCCATTATATTTTAAGTGGCAAATTATCTAAATGACTCAGTTGCTGAAGTTAAAAGAAAGAAAATTAAAAATTGTATTAAGATGATTATCTTGCTATAACTTTGCGTAGAAAATGAGTGCAAATGCTTCAAAACATTGAGTGCAATAATATGTAAATCTAAATTAAATTACGCACGTGCTTGCCAGATTGTTTTACTGTATATAATATTCTATTAACTTATTTGAATCTTATTGTTGTTGTCCATATTTCCTGAGATAAATAGGATGGATCCGCGTGGAAAAACATTGAGTACTGAGTCAACTGTAGCAGACGAAAGAAAAACTGATAAAAAGACCGTATCTGCATCTGTCATAAATGAGGATCTTTCTTCAGAAATTTCAAAATGTTCTTTGATTGGAGCTCAAGTTCCAAGTTTGAAGAAAAGACTTATTGTTCTTGACATAAATGGGTTGCTAGCAGATGTAGTTTCTCCCCCTCCAAAGGATCGCAAAGCAGATGCAACCATTGCGAGGAGGGCAAGTAAGGATTGTGTTGTTCTTTGTTTTTCATGAATCATGTCCTTTCTTTTACTAAGTCTGTTGTATTTGAATTTGATTTCAGTATTCAAGAGGCCCTTCTATCTTGAGTTTCTGGAGTTTTGCTTTGAAAAGTTTGAAGTTGGCATATGGTCTTCGAGATTGAAGTAATCCAACTATGTTTAATAAATGTGTTTTGATTAATTATGTCTGCATTTCTGTTAGGATATTGTCTTGTTAACAATTAGGTGTAGTACAAACTAATGGATTTGTTTTGTTATCATAGGAAAAATGTTGATTTAGTCGTTAATTTTTTGATGGGAGACATGAAAAAGAGGTTGCTTTTCTGTTGGGTAAGCATTTGTTGAATTGTTCTCTGATTACTAGAAGCTCTCTATCTCATTCCTCATTGACCTTGGATCTTGGTTCGGTGATTTTTTATTTATAAATAATACCATTTTTTTTTATCTCTATCTCTGTAATTAGTTGCATTGAATGTCAGCCATGTTTATTTTTGTTTTGCCAGGTGATCTTGTCAATTTACATGAGAATTCAATTTAGATATGAATTTTGTTTTAAAAAAATATGATGAATTGCATTAATTCATAACTCTGTTCATCTATATAACTACATTCTTATTATCTTTTTCATGAGATTGATGACAACTACTGTTTGTAATTTCACACTTTTTCTAGTGTTAAACCTTTTTCTACTCCTGACTCTGCATTTTGTTGGCTTTTAATTTGCAGGACCTTTCTCATTGCACTGGAACATGCTTCAAAACTCTTGAAAACAAGCATAAGGATGTGGTTTTCAAGGACTTGAGGAAAATTTGGGATAAGTATGATCCTAATCTTCCATGGGAGAAAGGATATTACAATGAATCAAATACGTTACTATTGGATGATTCTCCCTATAAGGCATTGCTTAATCCTGTAAGACTCCCTTTTAGTTTTTTTAATTAAAGCTTCTTGTATTTTTAGCACCACTATGTTATTACCTCATTTTCTAACTTTTTTTTTCTTAAATGTTTTGATCAATTATTCTAGCCAAACACCTCGGTCTTCCCTCATACATTCAGTTATCAGGTTGAAAACGACAACTCTTTAGGTAAAAATCTTTGTTGAGAAGGCAGGCTTAACTAATTCTCTCTCTCCTTCTCTCTCTTTTTTTAATGCTTATTTACCTACTTTTATTTATTTCTTTGGAAGAATAGGAAGGCACAACAACAATTATTTGATAATTTATATGTTACATTTTAAAGAGGAATATTAGTGACATTCTTTTTAACACAATTTTTTTATTGGTTGAAATTTATTAATTAAAACTCACAAGTTTTATGAATTTGCATATCATTTAGTGAGTCTTTTTCTTGATTTAGTGATAGGAATTGTTAAAATTTGATATTAATAAGAGAGTGTCACTAGCATTTTTTTTTTAATTTTAAAAATTAACCAAGTTGT